AGTGCACGGTTCACCCTCAGGCCTCGGTCACTGAGAGATCACGTGCACGATGATTAGTCTCACCACTAAAAGCATACTTGCTGATGCGGTCCACCTGTACTACACATAAAGTGAACATAGGTAGCCTGACGTGGCAAAAACAAAACATCGATCATGTGACCACTCCCTCCAACTTCCAAGTAATTCTATCGTATTCTTTCTTCCTTTCCGTTTCTGATCATCGGATGGTTAAACTTAAACAGGATTAGCGACAGGATTAAAAGTTAAAACTCTATTAAAGCTAATAATATATATGCTTATCGAATGGTTAACCGTCAACATTCATCCGATGAAATACTTGCTGCCTTGCCTTACGGTTACAGGGTTATTCTCACTCTTTGATCCCATGCCTACGACCATGACCAGACACTTGCCTTTTTCTGATGATCAAAACCGTCCAATACGGCACGCAATAATATGAAGAAACCTACAAAAGTCAAATTAAAGGGTCAGATCCTCAGATGAAATTGACTTTTAACTTAAAAGATGTAGCTACTACCTATCTTATCTCGCTGTGTGTTTTGCGTTTTGCGACGTTGGGTTGCGAAATACGGTCACCGCTGTCTGGTTCTACAGAGAGCGTACTCTCTCTCTCGAGCGTTGGAATAGTCGTTGCTCTCTGACATCACATTCACAAAGTCAAGATTTTTAAATGTCGGGATCAGGAATGCCCTTATTTGCCCTTGAAACGGGAAGATGGTACAATTATCGGTGGCAGCTATTAAGGTAGACAATAGGGGTTATTCTGTAAGCGAAAGAAATTTTAGGTGGGCAACCTTTTTCTCCGGTCACTTCACAGTTCACACTTGACACCGAATGACCGAAGCGAAAAGGCGAGGGATGATGAGGAGTTTGGTAAAATTTGAGGTTATTTTCGTCATTTGAAGAAAAAGTATACAAAGGTGGTCACTTTTAATGTTTAACTGTCACTGGGTTTTCATTCATGATGTTTAATGTTATTGGGGGGGGGGTAACTTCGTCATTTGGGTTTGGAAAGTTTCGAGAATTTTATCAATTAACCTTTTTGAAATCCGAAATCTGTGGGTCCCATTTATCGGTTTCTTTACTGGGCCATGGGGAACCGAAACCTGAGAATACACGCATGCGCCTTTTCCAGATGACGAAAATGCCCAGTGCTCTTTATTACTTCTCTTGTTCGTATTCAACTGGAATCCAAGGTAGAATGTTTGCGATGCAAGGTAAAATAACGGCTTTACCCAGAACAGAACAGGATAAAAAAGAAAAGAAAAAAGGTGAAATGATGACTTCACAATTTCGGCAATCGTAAATGTCTAAAACGACCAAAATGCCCCCTCACCTCTTTGGACTTTGGTACCCGGACCCGAATCTTTCTCTCTGACGTATAATATATATGCCCAATAGATTATTAGTTAGCAAATAATTAAACAAACAAAGGGCCAAGCGGATTGTTGTAGGGTAGGTCGTTGGATTAACAAAAATGGCAAAGAACACGACCCAAAACTAATCCATTGGACGGTTAAGATCGTCAGATCAAGCCATATCTTTCTGATTGGCTGGTGAATTACGATAGGTAAATTGTCACACTAGGATGATTCGGACTGACGGCAAAAAGAACAAGTGTTGAGTTGGTGGAAGGACTTGTGTAAAATCTGCACAAATACAGTCAAACGGACTGATCTGGTCACTTTCATTTCTTAGAACCGGCCAACCTATGCTGTTGAGTTTAGTTCACATGGCCATTGGGATCGAGTGTTGAACACCAGGTGTGCATTATCTTTCTAGGACCATTGGAAGCTCTTGTTTTATTTTGTACTAATAATAAGAACAAATTAATGAAAACGAATATGCCCACATACCCTAATTGCTGCAGAGCATTGGAAATTGATTACTTAAAATTCTAAAATTGTTTTCTTGTTTATTTATTAACATACCTCTGCTTCAGATGGTGAACATTCAATAGATGTCCTTCAAATTTTATTATAGTTTTAATTTCAGTTGAAAATATAACTTCAATTATTACTTTTCACCTCATTTAATACTCTTTCATTAAATCTTATACTTGAATTATTAATTCCCATTTTTTATTATTAAATTAGATTTGTGTCAATATTTTTAGCAAGATAAATCTATATATTTTAAAATTGACTGAAAAACAAAACCATTTTTAATCCACGTAGTGGCTAAGCAATTCAACCATTCAAATCAACTTGATTAGTTCCAAGCCATAGTTAGGTAATAAACTTTTTAAAATAAGAAATAAATATAGAAACTTACAAAAAAATGTATAAAAAATTAGCACATTTATGATATTTTTGTTAATCAAATTAAAAAAAATAAGTGTGATAAACAAAAATTATTTTTATTGGTAAAGAAAATGAAATACATAATTTAGAATTGACCAAAAATAAAATTATTTTACTATTTGGCAAAAATCAATAGTTCAAATTTTTGGTCAAACATGTTAACCTTTAATTAGGAATGGCAACGGGGTGGGGTGGGGACCGTCCCAACTAACGTGGACCAGTTTATCCCCATCCCCATCTCCACGGGGATCCCCATTCCCTGTGATTTTTTATAATGTTAACCATTTTGTTTTTGTTTTTTATTTTATTTAAAAATAAAAACAAAATAATTAAAATTTACAATCCTATTAGAAAAGATTCAAACATATTAAACCATATTTTTAAAATATTAATATATAGATGTATGTGTACATATATACATATATAACGTATGCATACATACATATATATTAGTGGGGATCCCACGGGATGGGGATCGGGGTCCCCACGAGGCGAGGAGTGCTCTCATCGTCCTCATCCTTGCCCTGTCCCGCTAATAGGGATGAAAATTTTCCCATCCCCATCCCCTGCCCCATTCAGGATAGATCCCCATGGGGATCGGGGAAATGGGGAAAATTGCCATTCCTACCTTTAATGTCATATATAAATAATAAAAGAATAAAATATAAAAATATATAAATTTTGCCAAAACAAAACATTTAGGCACATGTATAATGTCATATATTTATCATTTTAAACAAAAAGTAAGTGTGACATATTAAAATTATTTTTACACACAATAATACAAAAAAGTTGTAAAAAAAGTGAACACTTCTATAATTCTATATTTACACTAATATTAAAAATATGAATAAGATTGTAAAACTTTATTTTGACTAAAATACTCATTTTTGAATTTAGTCTCTATTTAATTATGAGGTTTAAATTATATATTGAACTACTACTTTTCACCCTATTCAATTTCCTTTATTTAAATCTTACATTTTTTATAATATATGAACAAAATAATACACAAAAGATTAAATATTACAAAAAGAATAATCTAGTCAAGCAAGTAGGCGTAACAATGATACTTGAAACTTCAAAACTCATTCCGATTATCACATATTTGGATGAGGTATTTCTATAATCACTAATCAGATTTAGATTTTCAATTCACATTCGATTAATAATAAAAAAATATAAAAATATAAAAGTAAAAAAATAAAAATATATAAAAAAATTAAATACATTATTATTATTATCATTATCATCATTTAGAATTACCACATGAAAAAGCATATATAAAAAGAGGGTAAATGTCTACAAATAAGAACCAATTTCCCATTCCACATGTTTTGTAGTCGCTTGGAGTTTATTTAAAACATATGTACCTGGTAGAAGAGTTGAGGAAATTGATCCTCTCGACCCGTTTCATGACTGACCCGGAAATTAAGCAGCCTGTTTGGAATTTGGACGGGTTCAGTGGTTCAACCACTTGATTCGACACATAGACGTCTCCATGTGTTGGGTCGGTGGGTGGAGTGAGTTCCATTATTATTTTTCTTTTTCTTTTTTCTTTAAACACATTAAACTTTGTGAGTTTGGACTCGAAGTTAGAGAAAAGAAGAAAAGAAAATTGGGTAGAGACTAGAGAGGGACATGGACATGGACAGCAGGGGTTTCTCACCCAAAGCCCAAAGGGGGACAGCCTGGATTGGGGCGCTTCATTCCTTGCTTTGATGTGGTATAAATAAGGGTTGGTTGTGCAATAAGAAGCCCCTTACCTTGACCCATCCAAACATACCATTTTCCCTATATTACGTTAATGATTTTATCCATTAAACCGGCTGTCACTGGGATTGACCTGCCCCTCCTCACACCTCTCTTCTTACTTTGATGTTAACTCTGACCCATGCACACGCTTTTTGGGTTAATTTAATAATAATAATAATAAAGTCAGATCCATATATAGAGTTTCGACCAAGCAAGCATCCGACCCTTATAATCTTCTTCCTCTGTATTAAATTGACATTAAAAAAAAAAAACAATAATGTCAATATGTCATTTTCTAATCTATTATTTATTTTTGTTTGTTTAATAAAAGTGGGGAAGGAGTGAATGAATAGGAAAAAAAAGCATATTTTAGGTAGGCAAGAATAAGATAAAAGGGCCAGCTTTAAATCAGGAGCGTAGACGAGTCATGAGATGAAGGAAGGTACAGACACCATAATCAATCAAGCATGCCATCTCAACACCCAATCAAGCAAAATAGGTTGAAGGCAGTCCAATTAAAGAAGTTCATTTAGGAAACGGCTCATACAAGAAAACTACCCAAAACTAAAGTGAGTACACTCACCCATCGAGTGGTGCTGTGGTCCTGGTCCAGCCCTCCCCCATTTTTTTATGGTAGTTAATGCATGTATATCTTCCTTTCTTTTATGGGACTATGAGCTTTACATAACGGATAACGCCTGTGTCTTGTTTGTGTGTATACAAAGAATACAGTGTAGAGTAGCGTACAGCTCAGATCCAGTCACTGCCACTAAGTAGCAGGAGTTTATCGTACATTTCTCTGTTATTGGGGGTACTTTGGTCATATTAAAATAAAAAATTGGAAATGGTTTTTAGTTATTAATATTTTGTGATAACATAATAATAATAAGAATCAAAAGAACCATATTTTGGAGGCTTTTGCAACGTCTTGCTTCGAGTGGCACCTACCGCGAATATTTTAGCGCACCCAACACCCACCACCCACCACCATCTCCTACTCTCTCTCTCTCTCTCTCTGCAACCGAAGAAGAAGAAAGCAGAAAGTAAAAAAAAAAATGAAATTAAAAAGAGCTTCTAAGTTTTCGACTTGAAAATTTTTTCTTCTTTGAATCTCTAAGAACTTCCTCTCTGCAACTATAGAATTTGTTCTTCAGATCTGCTTTGAACTTCCAAATTTTCTCCGTTCCTCTACCTTTCTCTCTGTTAAAGCGCCATTTCTTCAGGTATGGTGGATTTTTAGTCCATCGTCTCGCCTTGCACTTCTTTTTCACTCTTTCTAATCTGGTTCGTCAATGTTGTTCTATGGTTAATCATCCTAGCTCGACTCTTTTTCTTTGCTTTTGTTTGTGTTTCGAGTTTGTTTTGAGGGTGATGTTTTTCGTTCTTTGGCATTTCTTGCTTATCTTATGAAGATATCCTTTTGGTTCTCCAGTCCACATTGGTTGCTTTGTTTTAAGCCTCAGCAATATAGATTTTATTCTGTATCCTCTTTGCTTTTTTGTTCGAATTAGCGGATGAAGGAGGAGGTTGGCCGTAAATGCGGATGAAAGAAATGTTTTTTTTCCTCCTTTTCCTGGTTTTCCCCTGATTTGGAGTCTGAAGCCGGGATTTAGCTTCTGTTTTATTTTTATTGTATGAAATCCTTTTCAACCGTTGTACTCTAGTACTGTTGCTTACAGTGTGTCTCTACTTATTTGAGGATTTTATTTTGCATTTCATTTATGACAAGCCAATTTATACCTTTTCTTTTTACATTAATCAGAGACATTAGGTGATTTTCAGATAAAAACATTACTTTTTCTAATTCTTTATATGTGTATGATTATTTCTTTTACATGCCTATAAATATATTTATGTGGTTATGTTGTTTTTTTTCCTGGTCTGAAGTATCGATTGGATTTCTAATAGTCATTCAAAATAGAGATCCTTTATAGTTTGAGAGGCTCTTAGATAGTCAGATTAGATCCGTGGATATTTCTGCCCGGCATTGGCTGGACTTTCTCATTTCATTAACATGCACAGACGTTTGATTCAGGTATCTCAATTGATAAAAAAAGTATCATGCAATCTGCAGACAAAAGATTAGTGTCTGCATAACAAGAATTTTAGTGGGAGAATATTTTTCCTGGTAATGCATGTCTTTATCTATGCTTATCCCGTCATCCAGGGGAAGGGTGTCGGTAGCTTGTTATTTGTGAATTTTCTTGGTTGTTTGAGCTTCAGATTCTCTTGATATGTTTATACCTTTTTTTATTCTTTTATAACAGAGATTTTATGCTTCATTTTTATTTGTTTGAGTTCTTCTCTTGCCCGCATTTCCTGCAAATATGTTTTGGGTTTATTTTCTTTCCACCGCCAGTGTTTGGCCTGGTTATCATGTTGCACGGTTGATATTTGACAAGCAGTAATAAGGTGAAGAATGCTGTTATTGGCCGCACTGCTGCCTGAAATAAAGGGGAAAAAAGAAAATTACACTAGAAGAATCCAAAGGGCTTAGACATCTAGGTAACATTTTCAGTGTATTTTTATGTTGACATGAAGGGTGAATGGCTGTTGGATTGCATCTCAATTCAGTCTAGTTGTCTTACCTTTTAGGAATTCATTCTTTGGTCTTTGTTACCAAAGCGGACTCTGATTGATAAGTTGGGGTTAGGATACACTACCGTGAGCCATGAGGACTGATTATGTGTGGCCATAAATTTCATAGACAGGAAAAGTATACCCATGTTCTTACCAGGCATAAAGAATTTGAAGAAGACTTGCATCATGGCCCTCTAAGTTGCATGGTCATGCAGATGATGTTGCTTGTACAGATACATGGACTTCAGTTCCTCAGTTCTGGTTGCAGACCATTTTTAGCTAACAAACAGTGGGTGGAAAATAGGGGGATTGGGGTTCCAGTCTAGAAATCAGCTGCAATCTGATCAGGGATGGTGTATTTCCACATTTTTTTTTGTTGCAACATCGATGGGAGTTAGAAGCTTATGGTAGTGGTGCTAGAATTTTCAAAGACTTTTGCAACATTTGATGGGTTTTTCACGACTACAGTTCTATGAAATGTTGCCTTGTCATATGGTTTGACAAATTATTACTGCATTATTATTATTATTTTTTTTGCCTTGTTCTGAATGGAGATGGCATTTTTAGCAAACTACAGTTCTATGAAATGCTGCCTTGTTCTGCATTAATTTTTTTTTTCATTTTTTGAATGCCTTTTTTGTTCTTCCATTTTTATCATATTCTTTCCATATTGCCTCCCTCAAAAGAAGGCTTGGTAGCATTGCTAATTCCATCTACATGCAGGCTTTATAATTTGAGATGGACCGCCGCAGTTGGCCCTGGAAGAAAAAATCATCAGACAAAACTGAAAAAGCAGCTACTGTATCAGATACTGCTGGTGCTTCAGCTGGATCTCAAGCAGAGCAGGTTTGCTAAAATTGAAGCTATAATTTTATTCATTTATGGAGTATGCTTTGGGTTGCACTTTTTACTTCTTTTTTGTTGTTTTTGCAAAAATATTTATAAAAGGCCATTACCCTATCTTAGTCCCCAGCTATCTGTGGTCTTGGGTGGGGTGGACTGGATATGGTCCTAACCTTTGGCATTTTTGTTGCACAATGTTGGGTGAATTCCAGACCATTGATCAGACCTGCGAGCCTTTGGAATGGCCCTAATTTTGAAATTGATCTCCCTCTTCATGTTTTACTCATATCCTGTTAATACAAGCCTTAGGAGGCAGCAAAAGGTCTTAATTAAAAATTTCGGAGTTTGATGATGTAAACACATGGTTAATAGTAGATTGTACTATGATGTTATGGTTTTTTGAGGAGCCTTATAAGTTATAATTTTGCAGGATTTGTATGTTGCATTTTGATAGAACTATCAAATGTCCTGCTTTTGGGAAATGAAAATGTTAATCCTCTCTTATGGTTTGGTAGCTTGCTCATATTTCCCAAGCTTTTGTATGGTTTACCTATCTGGGATGTATGGTCCAACCTCTTTTTGATTCTTATTTTCTTTGCATGGTAGACATCTATCTATTTGTTCCGTTGATTCTAGAAGTATGATCTACATGGCAATAAAGTCTTGAAGAGTTCATGCTCATCTTACATATGATGCTTGAGTTCTAACGTTCTGCTGTTATGAGTTGAATTTGAGTTCTATTTCTTTCTCTTGCTGTTTTCCTATTTTTCTAGGTTGTAATTGTTTTTCTTCAGATCTTTGTTATCTATGATGAAATATGATGCTTTGAACTAGGTCTTTTGCTGCAAGTGTAATGCTGGTTGTTAATCGTTGCTGTAAACTGTCACCTTTTGTGCCTTTTTAGGATTAATGGTTTTTTTTTCTCTGTTGTCAGGATAATCCCAAGAAAGTAAATTATGTCCAACTTCCTGTGGAGTCATATAATCATCTGACTGGATTGGAGAATCAAGTTAAGGTGATGGAGGGTCAAATTAAGATATTGAATGAGAATCTGTCCTCAGCACAATCAGAGATGACTACCAAGGACAATCTGGTCAAGCAGCATGCCAAAGTTGCTGAAGAAGCTGTCTCAGGTACGAACTACAAACATGCTTTTTGCAATGTAGAAAATGCTTATTGCCTGAATGTATGCAGCTTTTCTTTGGGGAAAAGTTCCTGCAATTGGATACCTTTTTTTTTACTTGGTAGTATTCAATTGGTCTTACTATTTTCATGTCATGTTTACCTCTTAATGGTTTCCAAAACTGAGCCTCTCTGGTTAATGCAGGCTGGGAAAAGGCTGAAGCTGAAGCTTCAGCATTGAAACATCAACTTGAATCTGTTACCCTTCTGAAGCTTACTGCTGAAGATAAAGCATCTCATCTAGATGGCGCTCTCAAAGAGTGCATGAGGCAGATAAGAAATTTGAAGGAAGAACATGAGCAGAAATTACATGATGTTGTTCTTGCAAAAACAAAGTTGTGGGACAAGATCAAGCTTGATCTTGAATCAAAGATTGTGGATTTAGAGCAAGAACTTCGTAGGTCCTCTGCTGAGAATGCTGCAATTTCAAGGTCACTGCAAGAGCGTTCCAACATGCTGATGAAGATCAGTGAGGAAAAATCCCAAGCGGAGGCTGAGATTGAACTTTTAAAGGCCAACATACAGTCATGTGAAAAAGAGATAAGTTCACTTAAGTATGAGCACCATATAGTTTCCAAGGAGCTTGAAATTCGGAATGAAGAAAAGAATATGAGTATGAGGTCTGCAGAGGTAGCTAACAAGCAGCATTTAGAAGGTGTGAAGAAAATTGCTAAGCTCGAAGCAGAATGCCAAAGATTGCGTGGCCTTGTTCGAAAGAAGTTGCCTGGCCCTGCTGCATTAGCTCAAATGAAGCTGGAAGTTGAGAATTTGGGCAGGGACCATGGGGAAACCCGATTACGGAGATCTCCTGTAAAAAGTCCTAGCCAACTCTCCGAGTTTTCCCTGGACAATGTTCATCAATCCCAGAAAGAGACTGAATTTCTCACAGCACGTTTATTGGCAATGGAGGAAGAGACAAAGATGCTGAAAGAAGCTCTTGCCAAGCGTAACAGTGAGTTGCAAGCTTCAAGAAACACGTGTGCTAAAACCACCAGCCGGCTTCGAAGCTTAGAAGCACAGTTGCAGGTAGCCAAAATTCCTATCGAAGGCTCCTTATGTCAAAATGCAAGCAACCCTCCTAGTTTGACATCCATGTCCGAAGATGGAATTGATGAGGATGGAAGTTGTGCTGAGTCTTGGGCTACAGCACTGATTTCTGAACTCTCCCATTTCAAGAAGGAAAGGAATGTTGACAAGATTAACAAGGCTGACAGTACAAATCACTTGGAGCTTATGGATGACTTTCTTGAGATGGAGAGGTTAGCATGTCTATCAACTGAGTCCAATGGTGGCATCTCCATTCGTGATGGTTTTACTGATAAGAAGGCTGAAAACACAGAGGATAATGCTATTGTTGATAGTATGAAGGGTGGGGATCTTAACACGGAACAGCAGACAGGTGCTGATGCATCAGGAGATCAGGATTCATCTAATGTGGAAATGCCAGTAGTGGAGATTGAATCTTCTGCCGTTCAAGTTCCATTTTCACAGCTCCAATCAAGAATTTTGATGATTCTTGAGTCTCAACCTAAGGATGCAAATGTCAAGAAGATTTTAGAGGATATAAAGAATGTTGTGCAGGATATTCAAGAGTCTCTACCTCAGAAATCTCTTAGTTGTAGATTGAAGGAATCCCAGTCTGCAGATTGTATTTGCAACAAAGAGCCCTGCCCTCAAGATATTGGGGAAAGTGTGGAGAGTGAGATCTCTCTTATTGAAGACAAAGAACTGGTCAAAGATACTGAGCATACTATAGAACATGAATTGGCAACTGCTGTTTCTAAGATTCATGATTTTGTAACATCACTGGGCAAAGAAGCTATTATGGCCGTGCAGGACAGGTCTCCTGATGGGCAAGGATTGTGTCAAAAAATTGAGGAATTCTCTGCCTCTGTTGACAAGGTTCTATGCAACAAATTGAGTTTGGTCAACTTCATTCTTGATCTTTCTCATGTTTTAGCCAAAGCAAGTGAATTAAGCTTTAGTGTCCTGGGTTACAAGGGAAATGAAGGAGAAAGCAACAACTCTGATTGTATAGACAAGGTAACTTTACTAGAAAACAAGGTAGTTCAGGATGACACAGTGAGAGAGAGGCTTCCTAATGGTTGTTCTGACATTCCTCACTCTACTTCTGATCCTGAGGTTCTTCAAGAAGGAAGCTTTATCCCAGGCTTTGGATTGAGGTCCACATCATGCAAATGCTCATTTGAGGAGTTGGAACAATTGAAATCAGAAAAAGACAGTATGAGAATGGATCTCCAGAGGTGTACTGAGAATCTGGAACATACAAAATTCCAGTTGCAGGAAACAGAACAACTTCTTGCTGAACTTAAATCACAATTGGCTTCTTCTCAAAAAATGAACAGTTTGGCAGATACACAGTTGAAATGTATGGCTGAATCTTACAAGTCACTTGAAACACGTGCAGAGGAGTTAGAAGCTGAAGTTAATCTTCTGCATGCCAAAGCAGAGACTTTAGAAAATGAACTTCAAGAAGAAAAGATGAATCATCAGGATGCTTTGGCTAAATGCAAGGATCTTGAAGAGCAATTAAAACGGTGAGTCACAGAATTGCTTCTTGGAGCATTTTCTTTTGTCTTATTCTAGCCAATTCAACTAGGCTTTGGCCATGTTTCCTCTATATAATAGCTAGCTGATGCTTGATTCATTTTGTTTTGTTTCTGACATACTCTATTCTATTTCTTTAAGGAATGAGACCTGCTCCAAGTGTTCATCAAATTCTGCTGTTGATATTGATATCAAGACCAAACAGGTATGGAGTATAATGTATCACACATATTTGTAGTAGTGCATCTGAGTGTTTGAAATGGCTATTGCATACACATAGATGGGTGAACTGCCCAATCCAGACTATTGATCAGAGAGGAAACCATCTGGACTGGTGATGCACTCGCTTCTTAGTTATCAATCCATATTGATTCCACATGTACTAGTCATTAGGAAATCTATTTACCTGACCATTATACTTCAATTCATAGAAAATTAATTCATGCAATGAAGGTCATAGATTGTCCATACTTCAGAATTGTACATTTCATGAACCATAAGTGAGTGCAAGCATGGAAAAATTCTTTGTCCCACGCAATACACATTTTCTTGGTGGATATTAAGCTTTGTCTATAAATCTGGTTGACCACATATGGGCATCATATTACTGACATCCTAACGTGCCAATTAGAGCCTGTTGTAGTCATTTTCTTTCTATGCCCATATGCCTAAATTTGACATGTGTTGTGTTGGATTTTCCATGAAGTCATGTTAAAGTCAATATTTTATAAATCTGGTCATATGTCAAACTGCTGGGACTGGTAGACATGATCATCTGATCTAATGTTCTTGTTTCAACTATACAAAACTATGGACAGAAATGAACATTAAAAAGTAAAAATAAAATGAGAGACATATTTAAATAGACATAAATGCAATTAAAAAAATCAGTATGAATAAGTTTCCTCAATTCTAGATGGTTTTGACATAAAATTATTGGTGATTGACCTGGTTTAAACTGAACCTTTCTTGGGAAGAGTTGATGCATTGAACAATTCAACTGTTTGATGCAGTTTTCTGAAAGCACTGCTGCAAATAACAATTAGCATCTTAATAGGGTTATGCATATGGAATGCAAACAGATATAGCTGTGGTGAATCTAATAAATTAGATTAATTGAGCCTAATTAGGATTAGGAAATTGACACTCTTTAATCACCATGGTAAATACTGATAGAGGACAAATGAGATGGCATGAATTCTAAGTTCTACTAGGGTTCCTCCATGCCCCTTTTTTATCATTTATTTTTCCACTTCTAACACATTTTTTTATCTTACATTTTTCCCCATTGATGTATGCACTTGTTAGTTGGGACCATCAAATTAGCTTTTGGTTGGAACCAATTCTTTCTGTTCAGAGCATATTATGGGTTTCTTGTTGTTGATTTTTTTTTTTTTGGAATTGTTTAACATTAATATATAAGGAACTATTTGGTTGGTTATCAATCTGAGTGCTGCTGTAGGAAAACTACCAAGGTACATGACTGCACATTGTATTTACTGCACTATTGCTTGTATTCCACAATGTGATTGTTTGTATTAGGGTTTTTGTTTTCTGGAAGGTTTGCCGGGGTTAATGTTTACCCAACAATTGGTAAAAAATAAAAAGAAAGCTATGAAAAATAACATGCACAGATGCTCGCATGCAACTATGGTTTTTTTCTTGTGTTCATTGTTGTTGCACACTTTTGCATCTCGATTCTATCCTTAAGGCTGATAAAGAGATGTATGAACTTGAACTATTCTTTTGCTTTGTCATCATAGGAGAGAGAGATAGCAGCTGCAGCAGAAAAGCTAGCAGAGTGTCAAGAGACCATATTTCTCCTAGGCAGGCAGCTGAAATCTATGCGGCCTTCAGTGGAATTTGCAGGTTCTCCATACAACGAAATGCATCAGAGAGATGAAGGTTTCATTGAAGATGGGTCAATTTCTAGTGGCTTGAACCGGCGAGGCATGCATAGTTCACAAGACTTTGATCACACTGAAATGGAAACATCTGTTTCTAACATAAGCAGATTGGGTGGAGAGTCCCCATCAGATGCATATAATTCCATATTTAGTCCATCTGACACTGAAGCTAATATGCTCATGAGATCGCCAATCAGCTCCAGGCGTCCAAAGCACAGGCCTACCAGGTCAGCTTCCTCTTCTTCATCTGCCCTGACGCCAGAGAGACATTCACGTGGATTCAGCAGATTTTTTTCCTCAAAACCAAAGAACAACCATTAGCCAGCAACAAGGCCAATTAATAGGTCCTCATGGCAAACAGTGGTGGAGATTTTTGTAGATAGGGGATTTGTGCCGTTTTTGACAAACCTACTGACGGATCAACCTGGTCTAAGTTTTGATGCTTTTTATCCTGGAAGTAGATATATGGGTGCACAGACATAAGATGACATTGGCTGATCATTGATCAATCATCTTTGATACACAGTTACATGTGGGAGATGTATAGTTTAATTATTTGCATGTAAAGCATTCCTCATCACTTTTTACTGTACTTCCATTGGGAGGTGGGATTTGTGACATTAAAAATCATTCATGGTATCTCGTAAAAACTCTTGGGTTTTCTCACTTTGTTTTGAGGATGGTGAGGCCAACCAACCTCGGAAGTCGGTCGTGTACTAGTAGCATAGACGATGACGTTTCATAGCCATAGGGTTAAGGTTAGGGTGTTCTTTTTTTGTTTTAGGAATGGTTTTCACTTGATCACCATATCATTCCATTGGGTTTTCTTTTTTCTTTTTGGTGTAATGGTTTGTTCTATTTGACATAAGATATTAAGATCTAAATCTATTTACCGAATTTGTTCTTTGTTCAAGGCCGACTTTTCAGTTTTCACTGGGAGATGAACGCAGATGCGAGTGTGCCAACTGCAAACTACCCTCTGGTTTGGTATTTCCGCTATGTATATATTATGCTATGCTGTTTCTATGAAACCAATTGGGATTTGGGAGGTAGGAGGTTGATTTGGGCACATCCCCAATTTTCATAATTAAATTAAAGTTGGTACCCTTGGAGAAGTACATAGTTTTTTTTTTTTTGATACAAAGAGAAGTACATAGTTTTACCAAAAGGTACCTTAACCTTTATCATCATCATAAAGTATAAAGTATAAACTATGAACAGGGTGGCTATTCTCTTTTCAGTTTTCATTGCGGTTTTTATAAAGAATCAGGCCAGAAATGTGTAGAGGAATTTCTTTTTCTGTATCCAAGAACTAAAAAGATTGTCTTTGTTCAGTGTTCAAACAGAAACAGTTGTATGCAACTATGTGCCAGTGAGAATATCTCTTTAGTTCAATGTTAAAGCGAGTATCGATCCGCTGTAAAGGCTGCAAGAGAAATGTCGGGAGAATTCAGCAACTGAAAATTTTTTATGCTAGTTTACTGCATTGAGAAAGTTTCTTCTATCCCAAGGCCATTTTGCTACAGTAGTTTCCTCGCAAATTTTGGAAATTAATACATCTTTTTTCTTGCTCGGTGAATATTTTATACATTGGGTATTACCAGCTGAATCATTGCTGTATCGAATTCGCTGTCTGTCATTGATGAATCTAATTTACACTGGTGCTAATATCAATAGGGACTTGGTGAACTGTCTTTCCAGTTTCCACCATTCTCCTACAATTAGTTACCACTTTTTGCAAAATGTTCATTTTCCAGTCATTTTATGTGCATCATAAAATAGCAATTTCAGGAAGTTGTTCAGTTCACTTCATTCTATGTAGAACCAACCAGATAGGGTATTATACCCTTTTTTTTTGTTTGTTTGTGTTTCTTTGGCTAGACTTTTGTCTTCGTTTCAGGTTTTTCTCCTGTTGGAATTTATGTATTCTCCATTTCCATGATAGTATACTTTGTAAAATTGCCGTTTATTATTGTGTTCAAAGAAAATTGCAAGCAGAACTTTGATTAAAGTAGTGCTTCTTTTCTGTGGTTCTACTTATTTATGTATATGTACGCACAGAGGTTGTATCGTGCATGTAGGAACTGGTGGTAATAGAATTATTAACATTTTCACATTTTCACTTTACTAGTAAAATAAAAGAAATCAATATCTATACTATATTAGTTGAATCCCGATTTCTTATTAGTTTACTATGTATCATCTCATCAACAACGGATCTTGGGCTTGTTCTAACAGCATCTCGTCTAATTTTGAAGCCCATGTTTGCGAATGGGAATGCTTTGTTCGATCATTTCCACATCTTGTAATGGCCTTATTTTTTGGTGAGAAAAGGAAGAATTAAAAGCTCAGTTTGGAAGGAATACAAATACAGATGTGTAAAGTATAAATACATATAAAATACAAGGTTTTATACTTTATATATTTGTAATTGTACTCCTTCCAAACTGAGCCTAAGGCTCAATTTGAAAAGAATGCAAATACAAATATGTATAATACAAGTATATATAAAATAACATAAAATACAAGATTTTGCACTTTAAATATTTGTATTTATACTTCTTGGAAATCGAGCCTAGGAGTTTGTAAACCCCTTCCCCATTTTCTTCTTCTTTTTTTCTTTTTTAAGTCATATTAAACATATATAAAAAATAAAATATTCGCATCAGACATGCGTTGGATTCTGGACTGTTGAATGACACTTGCACGTAATATTTTCTTTTTATTTCTTGGTTTAGTTGACATAAATGAACAACTAATATACAAGCTAAGATGCATATTATTTTTCGTATCAAATATTGTATAGAATTCAAAGAAAAATTAAAAAGACTATTTTAATAGTATAAATTAATGCATATGTGAGTTCATCTTCATTTTATTTTTTTGAGTCATGTTGTTTACTTTGATATATATGAATAAATTCAGACTCCCTTGTCTGTGTGCATGCAGCTGCAACACTACTCGTGTTTGGTTTTCAATGTTTGGAAATCATTGCTATTGCTGTTGTCAACTGTATGTATTTTAGTCTTTACTACTTATATATATATATATATATATGTTTAGGTGATAACATATATAAACACGAAACGAAAGCTTAAATTGCATTTCCGTGAGGGACATGCATTATCAGCACTCCATATATATCCTCATTGGTTTTAGTTAGTGGATAAATCACAAATCCCCCCCAATTATATTAAAGCTTCACCTATTGCTTTGATTTGAAAATTGGACACTAGCTTCTTTATTCATTTTTAAGTCCGCATATGTTCATGTTTATATTGAACCAAGTTCATTCCCATCCTTTCAAAGACCAGTAAAAGACTGGAACCAGGAATTCTGTGACATTTAGGCCCTGTTTGTTTTGTAATATTTAGCGGAGCCGGAAGGCTAATTTCATTAACAATACTCAGAATCTCAAATACAATCCATGAGAGTGTACAATCAACAAACAAAAAAAATAAAAGATAAACCCAATACAGATTGCAACAAATCCTGAGCACCAGGAAATTCTTGTAAGCGCTCTGCAAACAGCGCAAAAAGAAGGAAACACCAATAAAGGAGGACCAACCTCTAACAGAGTCAAAACTCCACAAGAAACTCTCAAAAACGGGGATACACAGAAAAAATTGCCAAAATCACCCCTTTCATGGCAAATGCAACTAAAAATTTCAGATTTGAAAGTTGTCTCACCCCTTCCATGGCAAAGCCAACCATTGTCTCACCCAGGCTTGAACATAACAGTCATCTTGCAAAAGTAAACTCCTTCCAAAGCATGCGACAAGAAAAAGGCCACGTCCCCACTAAAAGAAGATGGTCCGAAAAAAGTGCCAAAACACTGGATAGATAATGATCCATGCGTTCATTTAGTATTATATTGGGTCTCACGATAAGTAAATATACGAGAAGGTGGGTAAACAATTTGGATAACTGATACCCTATTATAAGGTGGTAAATGTATTTACCCAAATAAATAATACCCTAGTCTCATTTATTTAGACAAATTTTATTAAAAATACTTGCCCAAATAGATAAATGTACTTACCCAAATAGAAAGGAACATAACTATAAACAAAGACTGTTCTTCATGCCACTGGGTTTGATTATGTATTTATTAATTTATTCCTACATTCAAATTGTCACTATTGCTATTGCTTTTGGTTTAATTAGAAGATACAAAAGCTTTGATATAAAGTAATGGTTGAGAGTTTGGGAATAATAATAAAGAGTAGTGGGGGTTAGTTAGGGTGGGAACAAGGAATGAGACCAAATCCAACTGCTACGTATTAATTAATCAACCGGCTCAATGCATGTAAATTGAAACTAGGACCTGTGGTTGGATGTATATGTAAAAGAACCCGACCTCTTCACGAGAGGTTGTCTCTGCCTTCCAAGTTCCAAGGGCCCCAACGCCCGACCAGGCCAATGTCTTCTTCTCTTCAACCCCTCCCTCTTTTTATCTATAATAATATTACTAATTAAATTAATCTACGAACTGGTCTTTCGGTGGTTGCTGTTTCTATCCTTCATCATCTAATTAATTGCCTTACTTGCTTTCCCAGCCTCGCAGTGTCTCCTCTATGTTTCTTTCACACTTCAGCATCCTCCTGATTTGCACTATTTTTTTTTTTTTTCTTTTGCTTGATGATAAAGATGAAAGAGTGGCCCGGCGGCCTTGCATGGAGAAGAATTAGTTGGGATAAGTCTTCTTGAATTCCCTTGATTTGATTGATGGATTCACCTATAATGAATAAATTTAATCAATCACAGCTGGTTTTGTTATTGATTGGTTATATTAGCATACCATGTGGAAAGGTTGGGATAAACTATTCATCAAGCAGAAATCTCTGAATTTCACTGTTTCAGTGTGCAGCTGGATGTTATTGTCTCATGAATCTATCAATAACAACATGGTGATCATAAAAAATACTAGAAAAAATATTTATACCTATACAGGTTATGGAATGCTAATCTAATTAACATCTAATTACTATTGCTGCATCGCATTTGGAATGCCCGTTTAGGAGGGCTTTAATGCAGTGGCTTTTAGCATTATAAGGTAGGTAGGCCTCACACAGAAACCCAAAAATAAGTTTACATGAGCTAGAAAAACTATTTTCTGTAGCTTCTGGGACCTTCAGTCAACACAGCCCAATCAATGTTGAAGAACTCCCAAACAAGCCTTTATCACCCAGTGCTAAGTGTCTTTTTGTTTTTTTCAAGATAATTAATTACATACTGAGAGCAGAGCATTGTTTTCAAACCGCCGTTGATAGTGACAACCAAAACACTGGTTAAGAGCATATATAGACAGGGATTTTCATGTCATAGTTTGTAGCTTTACTAGATGATCCATTGTCATGGTGATTGGTGACTACCAATAGGCTGTTACTCTTATTAATTCATAATATATAGATGGAGAGAGTGTATATGGGTGGGGGCAAAGGTGGACCGGCCCATTTACACTGGCTAGAACAGTCCTTCATGGGTAATGGTGGATTGTGAATCATTCAAAGCTCCCCGCCTGTTCTGGATTTGCTTGATTTAGTATTATATTTCAAATGGGTCCACTCTGGCCCATAACCGGCATTCACCAATCACCAACTTTCTCCAGAGAAAAGCCAATCAAGCTAATCACAAGCTACTTAGTAAAACACAAAATAAGTTTACAATTTTCTTTTAAGTTTGTCCTAGTATGGGAAGGACACCGTAAAACATATACTTCTGGAAACATATCCTGCCAAAATGTAAGTCCTCTCCTAATCAATGATTCAATATTAGTACATAACTTACTCCTGGCATATTAAATTATTACTAGCTAAGCATAAATATCAAAATAATGACAAGAAAATCACTTTCAAGCAGATATTCTCCCTTCATTTGATTATTGTCCTATACGATGCAATTGTGTCCAAC